CCCCCCCCCCACTCTCTCTCCCCTCCAGTCTCATCATCATCATCATCATCATCATCATGGAGAGCTTCTCATCTACTGAAGGGAAGCCTATTAGATGCAAAGGTAACATTCCTATTTTTTTAATACAATTTAATTAAAAAGAATTACATACATTAGATTTTCTTCCGACATGTTCTGGGTTTCTGTCCGAAAAAAAAAAGCGGCGGTGTGCAGAAAAGCGGGAGAAGCGTTGGAGATGGAGGAGATCGAGGTGGAGGCACCCAGAGATTACGAAGTAAGGATCAAAATCATGTGCACTTCCCTCTGCCACACTGACGTTACTTTCTGGAAAATCACCCAAGTAAGCAATATCCACTTTTATTTATGATTTTGTTTTGGGTATTAAAAAAAACATTTATAATATTTTCTCACTTGGATATTATCGATGATCTCGCAAACAGATCTGGAGATTTCACTTCGTATATTAGTGTTCCTGGATTGATTTAATCGATTTTGGGAGTCAACGCCTATGCCCTATGGGTACTTGTTTCCGTCATTGAATTTTTCAGGGGCCACTTGCAAGATATCCTAAAATTCTGGGGCACGAAGCGGTCGGGTAAGTTTTTTTTTTTTTTTTGTGAACTTCCTTCCCTGATAAAATCAAGAAAAAAAAATAATCCAGATCTAGATATACCATTTTGTTGTAATCTTTCAAAATAATATGTGAATTTTAAAATTTCAGAAAAAATATATTAAATTTGTTCTATTTATAGTTAAAATTATAAATTAAAAAACTCTAAAAAAGATATATATATAAAATTTTACAGTCACTATTAAAAAGATACATATTAAATAAACGACTCAACTATGTATAATTGTTTGAATTTCTTTTAATAAAATTTCATGGTTATCATAGGTAACTAAAAAAAAGTTTATTATGTTAGAAATATTAAAACTCGTATATTCATTTAGGAGCTTGGTATTAGAGTTAGTTCAACAGAAATAACGAACTCTGTTAGCATACACACAATTGTATAAGTGTGTATGTATAGTTGATATTGTATTTAAAGTAAAGCTCCTGTACATTGAAAGGTTAAGTTCGAATATACAGAAATTGTTCATTCTCTCTCTTGATTTTGTTTCTCTCTCTAAATCAGGAAATTTCAATCTTTGAACGTGATATGGTATCAGAGCGAGTATCGATTCACGATTCTTCGCTTCGATTGATTTTCTCTGTCTCAGACAGTCCTTTTGATCTTTTACACCTAGACATTTGGGGTCCTTTTGCTGTTCATTCTGTTGAGGGATATAGATATTTCTTAACCGTTGTAGATGACTGTTCTAGAGCTACTTGGATATACTTACTGCGTAATAAAAGTGAAGTGTTGCAAGTGTTTCCAAATTTTGTTGCCTTTGTTGAGAAACAGTATCAGAAATCTGTCAAAGCAATCAGATCCGACAATGCACCAGAATTGGCATTCACAGAACTATGTCAACAACAAGGCATTATGCATTACTTCTCCTGTGCCTACACTCCTCAGCAGAACTCGGTGGTGGAGCGCAAGCATCAACACATTCTGAATGTAGCGAGAGCTTTAATGTTTCAGTCCAAGATACCTCTGGTCTACTGGAGTGATTGTGTAAAGACAGCTGTATACCTCATCAACCGGATTCCATCATCTATATTACAACAGAAGACCCCTTATGAAGTTCTCACAGGTACCTTACCTGATTATTCACATCTACGTTCATTTGGATGTTTATGCTATAGTTCAACTCATGATGGAGCTCGACATAAATTCTCTGTTAGAGCTAAGCCTGCTGTATTCATTGGTTATCAGCCAGGATACAAAGGATATAAACTGCTAGACACAAAAACCAACCAAACCTATATTTCCAGACATGTGGAATTTCATGAAACCATATATCCGTTTCATTCTAATCCTACAGATTCTTCTAATGAATCTGTCACCCAAATCTTTCCCTCTGTTATATTACCTATGCCCATTCCAGATATTTCTAGTCCTGAACCTGAGCCATTACCAGTTGATTCTTTACCATCTCTTCCACATATTCAACCTCAAGACACTGAAGTTGATTTACAGCTATCAGTATCTGAACCTGTCTCTGAAATTCCACAGACCAACAATCCTAGACCAAAACGAATCACCAAACAACCTACATACCTGTCTCAATATCAATGTTACCTAACCAGTCATGAACAAATACCAAAGAAAAAGACCACCCCATACCCCATACAATCTGTTCTGTCTTATGACAAACTCAAACCACACTATCGAGATTTTATTCTTAACCTGGACCATGAAACAGAACCCAAATCCTTCAAAGAAGCAGTTGTATCTGAAAATTGGCAGCAAGCAATGAATACAGAAGTTAAAGCTCTAATAGAGAATGGCACCTGGTCTATAGTCTCATTACCTCCTACAAAACAACCTGTTGGATGTAAATGGGTCTATAAGATCAAGCGCAAACCAGATGGAAGCATTGAGAGATATAAGGCCAGACTCGTCGCAAAAGGGTATACACAGCAAGAAGGGGTTGATTACACTGATACGTTTTCTCCAGTAGCGAAATTGGTGACAGTTAAGTTGGTATTAGCTCTTGCTGCAGCACAGAAATGGAGTTTAACTCAGATGGATGTAACAAACGCTTTCCTACATGGAGACTTAGAAGAAGATATATACATGCAACTACCTCCAGGTTATACACCACATAATGGCGAAGCATTGCCAAACAGAGCTGTCTGCAAGTTACAAAAGTCACTGTATGGCTTAAAACAAGCCTCGAGACAATGGTACACAAAGTTCTCTTCAGTTTTGATCTCTAATGATTTCAAACAATCTCAGGCGGATAACACTCTGTTTGTGAGAAAACAAAGGCTTGATTGCATCAGTTCAGACAAGTGCTACTGAAATATCTCCGCAATCAGTTCTTAGTGAGATGTCCCCTGATCAACTACGTGAATTACAACAACAAATCAGTGAACAGCTGAGAAGTGCTAACTCAGTTGCCACACCAGTCATCACTCCACAAGGAGCACCAGATCAGACATCTCTCAGCACTGGTAACACTTCAACTTTTGACATATGTTCTTCTATTTTACAGAATAATGTTCTTGGTTCTGCAACTTGGATTGTTGACTCTGGTGCGTCAATTCATGTTTGCTCCAACCAATCTTTGTTCTGTCAAATTAGAAGTATTACACCAGTTTTGGTCAATTTGCCAAACGGTGAAAGTATTACGATAGTAACTGCTGGAACAGTCAGGCTCAACAAGCACATTACTCTTTCTAATGTGTTGTATATTCCTTCATTTCGGTTTAACTTGATCAGTGTCAATACTCTGATCAAGGATACTGATTATTCTGTTCTTTTTACCTCTGACTCCTGTCTTATACAGGATTCTTCTCGGGGTTGGATGATTGGGAGGGCTAATCTCCAACAAAACCTCTATATCATTGACCATACCTTCATACCAACACCATACTCTACCTTTCATTGCAATGCTGTTATACCAGACACAAAACTGTGGCATCATCGCCTCGGGCATCCTTCCATTTCCAGAATAAAAACACTTTCCTCGGAGTTGTCTCTTACCAAATGTACAGACTTATCACATTGTGAAACCTGTCATTTGGCAAAGCAGCGACGTTTACCTTTTGTTTCTCACAATAATGTCTCAGACAGTCCTTTTGATCTTTTACACCTAGACATTTGGGGTCCTTTTGCTGTTCATTCTGTTGAGGGATATAGATATTTCTTAACCGTTGTAGATGACTGTTCTAGAGCTACTTGGATATACTTACTGCGTAATAAAAGTGAAGTGTTGCAAGTGTTTCCAAATTTTGTTGCCTTTGTTGAGAAACAGTATCAGAAATCTGTCAAAGCAATCAGATCCGACAATGCACCAGAATTGGCATTCACAGAACTATGTCAACAACAAGGCATTATGCATTACTTCTCCTGTGCCTACACTCCTCAGCAGAACTCGGTGGTGGAGCGCAAGCATCAACACATTCTGAATGTAGCGAGAGCTTTAATGTTTCAGTCCAAGATACCTCTGGTCTACTGGAGTGATTGTGTAAAGACAGCTGTATACCTCATCAACCGGATTCCATCATCTATATTACAACAGAAGACCCCTTATGAAGTTCTCACAGGTACCTTACCTGATTATTCACATCTACGTTCATTTGGATGTTTATGCTATAGTTCAACTCATGATGGAGCTCGACATAAATTCTCTGTTAGAGCTAAGCCTGCTGTATTCATTGGTTATCAGCCAGGATACAAAGGATATAAACTGCTAGACACAAAAACCAACCAAACCTATATTTCCAGACATGTGGAATTTCATGAAACCATATATCCGTTTCATTCTAATCCTACAGATTCTTCTAATGAATCTGTCACCCAAATCTTTCCCTCTGTTATATTACCTATGCCCATTCCAGATATTTCTAGTCCTGAACCTGAGCCATTACCAGTTGATTCTTTACCATCTCTTCCACATATTCAACCTCAAGACACTGAAGTTGATTTACAGCTATCAGTATCTGAACCTGTCTCTGAAATTCCACAGACCAACAATCCTAGACCAAAACGAATCACCAAACAACCTACATACCTGTCTCAATATCAATGTTACCTAACCAGTCATGAACAAATACCAAAGAAAAAGACCACCCCATACCCCATACAATCTGTTCTGTCTTATGACAAACTCAAACCACACTATCGAGATTTTATTCTTAACCTGGACCATGAAACAGAACCCAAATCCTTCAAAGAAGCAGTTGTATCTGAAAATTGGCAGCAAGCAATGAATACAGAAGTTAAAGCTCTAATAGAGAATGGCACCTGGTCTATAGTCTCATTACCTCCTACAAAACAACCTGTTGGATGTAAATGGGTCTATAAGATCAAGCGCAAACCAGATGGAAGCATTGAGAGATATAAGGCCAGACTCGTCGCAAAAGGGTATACACAGCAAGAAGGGGTTGATTACACTGATACGTTTTCTCCAGTAGCGAAATTGGTGACGGTTAAGTTGGTATTAGCTCTTGCTGCAGCACAGAAATGGAGTTTAACTCAGATGGATGTAACAAACGCTTTCCTACATGGAGACTTAGAAGAAGATATATACATGCAACTACCTCCAGGTTATACACCACATAATGGCGAAGCATTGCCAAACAGAGCTGTCTGCAAGTTACAAAAGTCACTGTATGGCTTAAAACAAGCCTCGAGACAATGGTACACAAAGTTCTCTTCAGTTTTGATCTCTAATGATTTCAAACAATCTCAGGCGGATAACACTCTGTTTGTGAGAAAAAGAGGAAGCAGCTTTGTTGCACTCCTGGTGTATGTCGACGATATCATCATTGCAAGCAACAATGATGAAGCTGTAGCAGATTTGAAGAAACTCCTAAATACACATTTCAACATCAAAGATCTAGGCCCTTTAAAGTATTTCCTGGGTTTAGAGATTGCAAGAACTGAAGCAGGTATCTCTCTATGCCAAAGGAAATATTGTTTAGAGCTTCTTGACAGTGTTGGTCTATCTGGTTGCAAGTCTGTTTCTGTTCCTATGGAACCAAATTTGCACATCAGTACAGAATCGGGAAGCTTGCTATCTGATTCTACAGCATACAGGGCATTGATAGGAAGATTGCTTTACCTCACAATTACAAGGCCAGATATAACCTTTGCAGTTCACAGACTAAGTCAGTTTTTATCAAAGCCAACAGAGGATCATTTACGGGCTGCACACAGAATCATTCGATATCTCAAGAATGATCCTGGACAAGGTCTATTCTATTCGGCAAAGTCAGATAATCAATTCGTGAATTTATGTAGAATTTTCTAAAATTGTTAATGAATAAGATAACGTTGAAGTGGTAATGATACAGTGTGGTGGAGAGCATAGGAGGAAAGGTGGGAGAGGTGAAGCAAGGCGACGTCGTATTGCCGGTGTTCCACCCGCAATGCGACGAGTGCAGCGACTGCAGGTCAGAGAAGAGCAACTGGTGCGCTTCCTTTGGGGACAATTCGTACTCAAACGCGAGAAGGTACGGAGAGAGCGGCCGTTTCAGGGACTCCGAGGGCGAGCCCATCAACCATCATCTGTACGTGTCCAGCTTCTCCGAATACACCGTCGTCGACGTCGTGAACATCGTCAAGATTTCTCCCGACATCCCCTTCGACCGCGCCCTTCTCTTCAGCTGCGGTATCTCCACCGGTAAATATTCTAATGTTATGATTATAAAACGGCAGCAGTGGACTCTGAAAAATTTATAATTGTGGTCAATAGTAATACTAATGTACATATAATTTTATAAATACAAACTTGATTTTATCACGGGTATTTAATAGTTTTATTTAAAATTATATAAAATTTAAAAAAAAAACTATTTTATTGATTAAAAAAAAAGGCCTAAAGGGACTCTATTGTAAATTAAGTGGATCCGCCCATGATATATGGTAGTCTATATGTTCTGGTACGAGTGATCATTTAGGGTTCAATTATCTCAGTTAAAAAATTATAAACAGTTCGATTTTTGTATTGAATTTGGTTTAATTCGGTTTTAATTATATTTTATTAATAAATTATCTATTTAAAAAACAATTTTTTATTTGTTATTCTTTTTAATAACAATTTAATTTTTATATCAATTAATGGGTCGTGTTAGTATGACCTAAAATAACAGACATGAATTGGGTCTGTGCCCATTTATTTAATTAAGAAAAGTAAAAAAATTTATAAGTTTTATAAAATTTCAAATAAAATTGATAAATGTTTCCGTAGTAAAATTAAATTTATCTATACGAAATTACATGTATTTTATTATTGGCCCCGTATATAATTTTTTTTGGGTCTATTAAGTCAACTCCCTGTAATAATGGATGATCCATGTATGTACGTATAGATAGCATTCGAATATTATGATGAAAACGATAATCGATTGTCACGTAACGGGTCGTGGATTTACAGGTAACATTCATATATTATATGGTTGTAACCGATAATAGATATAATCTAAAGTATAATATAATAATGATTCATGCACGTGGAATTCATAGGGGTAGGAGCAGCTTGGAAGCTGGCTGGAGTGGAGGAGGGCTCCTCCGTCGCCATTTTTGGTCTCGGAGCTGTTGGCCTCGCGGTATAATATATATATATACACACACACATATATATTATACGAATATATATATAATGAAATAAGGGTTTTTTTACGTGAAAACAGTGTGTTTTCATTTTTTTTTTGTTAGCCCATAATAATTTATAATAAAACTTTTTTTTTCAGGTTGCAGAGGGAGCCAGGTTATGTGGAGCAGCCAAAATCATAGGCGTCGATCTCAATCCGGACAAATTCGAGATAGGTAATCAATTTTTTTTTGTCACACAATTCACTCATCATTATAATTTATATATATATATATATATAAAGAGTTTTTTTTTTTTTTTAAACACGTTTAAATTTTGTCCGAGTAGGTAAAAAGTTCGGGGTCACTGATTTTGTAAACCCCACCACTTGTGGAGAGAAGACAGTGATTGAGGTATGTCGTATTATTCCACTTTTATATCATCGAATCATTCGAGTTTTTAAATAATTTTTAAAAAACATAAAGCACTCAAATTTAAATTTGGTAATTGGATAAATATATTTTTTATTTTATAAAAAAGGTGATAAAAGAAAAGACAGGAGGAGGAGGGGTTGACTACAGTTTCGAGTGCATTGGCTTGGCTTCTTTGATGAGCGACGCTTTCTCCGTCACCCGCACGGTAACCAACCTTCATCCTCCAATTACCAAATTTATTTTAATTTCATTTTTTTTTTTATAAAATCGCTAAATCTAAAAAATGAATTTATTTTTAATTTTGGTTACAATAAAAAAAAATAGGGATCGGGGAAGACAATAATATTGGGAATGGAGAAGGATGGATTGCCAATGAGCGTGAACAGCTTGCAACTCCTACGGGGCAAAACTGTGTGTGGATCCTTATTCGGAGGCCTCAAGCCCAAAACCCACATCCCAATTCTCATCGACATGTACTCGAACAAGGTTATACATACATACATAAATATATTTGTTAAATATATTTATATATAAATACATGTATTTTGATTTGGTGCAGAAGCTTAATTTGGAGGGTTTTGTGTCGCATGAGATCAGCTTTGGAGAAATCAACAAGGCTTTCGAGTTGCTGGAACAAGGAAAATCTATTCGATGCATTATCTGGATGGATAAATAAAATCAATCATGGCCTCTTTTTTTCCCCTGAAACTATATCGCAATGTACGACCTTTTATAATTTTTTATTATCATTTGCGTGAAAAATAATAAAAGAATTCTCTATCATTTGATTCGGTTCATATTGGAGTTATGTTATTTAGATTTTAAAAAAATATAATCATTCAATTTTTATATTAATTTCGGTTTTCTTTTTTAACAATAAAAATATTCATTAAAAAAAGTCGATATTTCGTTTAATTTGTATTTGATTCGGTTCGTACTTGTTTTTTAATAAAAAAAATTATAACAATTCGATTTTTATATCGAATTAGATTGGTTTGATATTTGATACATTTTATTATTGGGTTATTAACACTGATCAAAACTCAGCCGTTTTACCGACATGGTAACAATGTGACAGTCGCAGTGAAAAAGTAAACCTCCAGAAGCTTAAACCTAACATTTCTCTCGTGTTATCGCCTCTTCTTCTCCTCTCTCCGAAACTCGCTAGCTGCCCGCTAAGAATCTCCGGGATCCTCCGTTCCGTCCGTATAACAATGGCGGAAGCTGCGGCCGATCAACCTCCGTCTCTTTCCGATGTCCTCTTTCCCCCATCTCTCATCTCTCTCGCTGCTGGATTTTTGTTCATTCTTCGTTTGTGCTGTTAAAAAACGAGTTGATTCGTCTTTGGCTTCTGTTTGATTTCAGTGTTTGATTCGATTTGGATTTTTATCCGATGTGTTCCTTTGTTATTCTTCGTCGATTGGAGATCTGATTTAGTTAGATTAGATGATTGTCTGTGCCGAACGGCGTGATCGGATTTGATCATACTAGGGTTTTTTATATCGATCTATTCCCAATATGGATTGTGACCTGCTGCAGCTAGATTAATTTTTTAGAGTATATTGAATTGCATTAGGAAAAACAAAAACTTTCTTTAAGGGACTGTGAATTGCTGAAGTTGTGCTTCGTTTATGGACTTGAGATCCAAATCAATTCTGTCATCTAAATGACCTGAATATCTTTTACTGACCAATTTCAAGTTTTGATCTTGTCTCAAAAATATTATTTGGAAGAACGTGGGTGGCTTGGATTGTGTTCATTTTCATTTTCATATGTTCGTATCAAGTTGGATTTAGCATGTTTTCTTTTTGGGGTGCCATTTATATTCTAAGTATTCATGTCTGCTCTTAGCTATATCTTAGTCAATTGGAAACATCCGATCTAACATCAAGAAATTCTTCTGGCTGATGGTTCCATTGGCAGCAATATCTGTTGGAGAAAGAAGAGAAACAGGAGATTAAGTCCGTGGAAGTGAAAGAGGAGGTACCTGCTGTTACTGCTCCAACCGAAGAGGTTGCAGAGGAAGCCATTGAAGCATCTCCTGCTGTAGAAAGCAACCCCCCTGCTTCTGCAGTCGGAGACGAGACTGAACCTCCTCCTCCTTCCACCACGGAAGATAGTTCCGAGGCTCCTGAGGAAACTCCTGCCGCGGAAGAAAATAACGACGAAAATTCCGGTGAAGAAAATGCTGAGGAGGCCCCTGAGATCAAGGTTTTTCGAATAATCAATCTCTGATATAGTCTTGTTTGTTCATAGGCGATGGTAATTTACTCTCATTATTTTTGTGATTTTGAGTTTTGGGTTGGTTGGTTTGGTGTTTTTCCAGCTTGAGACGGCCCCGGCAGATTTCCGTTTCCCGACAACAAACCAGACAAGGCATTGCTTCACTCGTTACATAGAGTATCATAGGTGAGATGGATTCGTAGTCTCGTGTTTTGCTTTCTTTTATTCGATCTCTCTAGTCTAAATCTTTTAGCATCTTCTTCCATGTCTCCAGGTGTGTGGCTGCCAAGGGGGAGGATGCTCAAGAATGTGATAAGTTTGCAAAATATTATCGCTCTCTCTGTCCCAGCGAATGGGTATTCACTTATGCTTTTCTATCAGATTAATTCAGCCGTGCCCTGAAAAATACCCTCTGGACATATTCAACCACGTTTGATTTTACGCAGGTGGAGAGGTGGAACGAGCAGAGGGAGAACGGGACTTTCCCAGGACCTCTGTAAAGACAGCCAATGTCAGGTTCCAATTCCCGGGGGTTTTGCCCAAATTTTAGACTGGTGAGTGTAATAAGATATCGTATTTATAATCTTGTATGGGTTTTACAAGCGAACCCATGATGATGTTTCTCCTCATAAAACCTGAGAAGCGAACCCATGATGATGTTTCTCCTCATAAAACCTGAGATTTTCATGCCCGGCCGGGTTAAGGCAGAGCTCTGATCTCAGTGTCCCTTTACTTGAGACACCATTTTGTTTCCATTGGGCTGACGGTCCATTCAAAGATTCTTTCATGTTGGATCATATTGGGCTTTTGACACTTGCACACGGTGATGGTGATGGTGATGATGATCAAATAGTGAATTGATGTCCCCATCTTTCATATCCATCCTGTGTTCTCAAAACATGATATTCGGAATATATATACGACCATGGCTTGCTTTTCCATCCATAATCTTTTTCAAAAACTCATATGCAATCTTAATTAGTAAAAAATATATTAAAAGAATCTTATATGCAATTCAAAGTAGGATTTGATTTTTCATAATTCGATCTTATATATATATATATATATATGTACAGTGAGACTTAGAACTAACCGAAGCATTAAAGAATATAATACATATGTTGTAATTTGTCGTTTGCGAAATGACAAGTATGTTTTGTTATCTCCTGGATGGTGGGAATGAAATCACATGAGGTTTAATAGAAGCAACCAACCAGAAGAAAACAAGAGGAGAAATTTTATTAACGAACTTATATTTTTGGTCAATTAAAAGATACGATTTCGAAAATTGAGATTTTATTTTTCTTCTAATTTCTCGATATTTTTACGCTCTTTTCTTACTAGTACGTTTTTTTTTTGTTGGTCAAAATTTTAGATTCTCCAATGAAAGTTGGGAGGTGGTGTACGGACGGACATAATGATGTCTGACAGATTGGGAATCTTCGTGGAAAGTGGAAGAATCAGACATGGAACTGTGTAGTGTTCCCACTCACATTCATTCTCACCCTGTCCCCCGATTATTTTTGTTTTTGATAAAGGCGATTATTTTTGCAAGCTCGATATTCCACTTAATTATTATTACAAAGTTTTTATTAGCATTTGCCCATTACAAGTCTTTTATGGAATTTCGGGTCCAACATGCACAAGTATGTGTGAATTTGTATATTATTATTATTATTATTTAATCATTATGCAATAATTAATTTTTGCTATGGAATTTGTAATGCACCCGAAAAAAATGTCAACTCATGCATAATTATAATCATAGTCATAATAATAATAATCATAAGAATGCTATTTGTGAATAAAACGATTAGCACTTAAGGTTAATCGCGGGATCACGGAAAGCTAAAGCTAAAGGCTATAAAAAAAGCGAATAAGATTCAAAGCAATATAAAAAAAAAAGGCAAAATATTTCAACACAAGCAGAATTGTTTTAAAAAATTCGGCAGTGATATGAAAATTAATATGATATTAATTCCTGAGGAGGAGTCATAATTCGTCATATTATTTAACATTATATTTCTCGTTTCTAAAATCGATGGATGAATTGAGCATATATATATATATAGGTAACATTCGATGGACTTTCAATGGTGAATGAGATTACTAACTACGGGAAAAAAAACTTTACAAAAACGATGGAAAATAAATTGATAACAAAAAAAATGATCTAGTATTATGCAAATTATTTTTTCATGTCGTGCAAACCGTTGATTAATCCCTGTAAGAAGAAGATATTGTCTTTATTAATCAATATATAAAAAATAATAAATGTTGTCTGCATCTTCAACTATACAACAATCTGAACAAGAACCCTTGTTTCTTCCCACCCTTCTTCTTGGAAACGATTTCCCCGTAACGATGATGGAGAGGAGACAGGCACGGCGAGACGGAAGAGTAGGAGGAGGAAGATGACGAGACATCAGAGGAAGAACAATACGACGCCGTTTCTGGGCCTGCTCCGGAAGAAGACGCGTGATCGAGGGTCGACAGCCTCGAGAGCTTCTGGTTCAGACAGAGGGAACAGACTCCGGGAGATTGCCTGTGCTTCGGATGTTTCTTGCACTGACCCATTGCCGAGCTCCTCTCCGAATCTGACTGTTTCTTCTTTGTTCTTCTGATCGTTCTTGTTCTTGATGATGATCTTCTTGTTCTGCTGATGAGGAAGTTCGCCATTGTTGAAGTGTTTCTTCAATGTTTTTTGTTTGATTCGTGTGTTTGTGTGTGTATATATATATATGCACATGTGTGTGAAACTGTGATTAAATGCAAGCTGGTGATGATTTTTCCGAGATGCTTCTTGTTTTTTTTTTTCCTTTTTTTAAAGAACCAAAAAAAAAAAAACAAAAAGGTTGTTTCGGAAATTAAATGTTGGCCTCAATATTGCGATTTTTTTTTTCCTGTTTTCTGTTTTTACTATCCTTGGTAGTAAATTTTGGTTTCTGTTAACACTGCTCATATACCAAACTAACTTCTTACCGTTTTACTATGTGATCTTACAAAACTGCAGTTAACGAACACAACCAGAGCTGTTAAAAATCATGGAAACGCACATTGGCCTCCGTTCAGAATGTTCCAGATCAGTTTCGATTTTATAGAAATTATAAAAAAAAAAAAACTGGTATTTAAGTTTGAAAATACGAATTCACTCTGAACAAAAAATATCACCATTGATTATATTCATGATGTAAAAGTACTAGGTTAGAAAATCGAAAGTGCGGACGCAAATATTAATATATTATTATTTTTCGCCTGCCCAAATCATTTTTAAATGTTTTTATATACAGTTGTAATGATTATTGAAATGTAAGATATTAAAAATGGACGGCCGTGATGTGTTTTAGGATCCAATGGGGTCCACTTAAGTTGGTGAGTCGGTGGCCCATTGCTCCTCTTTGAGGCTTCAAACTCGGTCGGGCCAGCATCCTCCTCACTCCAAATGATATATCTTGTATGATTTTAATATATATATATAATATATATGTGTATATATTATGTATTATTTTTTTTCCCGCCGAATCCACAGAATCTAATACGTAGAAAAACATTATTCGTATATAATCTATATGGAACAAAGACAAAGAGCAAATATATCTAATCATGGCCTTTAAACGAGTAATTAAAACATCAACATATAAATCACTCACTAAAGCTTAAAAAAAGCTAAGAGATGACCAATCCGTACAATGCAACGACCCAAGCCACGGCCGCTAACGCCGGCAACATGGACGGCGCAGCAGAGAAAATGGCCGGACTGTAGATTCCGGTTGTGGTCGCCGGACTAGTAGTAGTAGGAGTAGTGCTTCCGCCGCCACCGCAGGAAGGGGAGGTGGGAGTGGCGGAGGAGC